CCAACAAGTTCCACCCCAACATTTTACATAAGATTCCAGATGATTCACATACTTACTGCACTTTGGAAGTACGCAGAGGTATGAGCATCTTGCTCTGTTTGACTAACTTCCTTTCCCATCTGGAATTGGTTTCAGAACACATGGGTAGAGTTCTAGTTTGGCTTCCATTGCTCTGATAAAACACTGACAAGACCACTTCGGGAGGAAAGGGTTGGCTCACAATACATCATCCAGTTCCAGGAGATCTGCCACCCTCTTCTGTCCTCAACAGGCCCTGCACAACATGGGTGCACTTATACACATGCAGGCACTACACTCATAAACATAAGTAAATAAGTAAGTAAAAATTAAAAAATAAAGATATTCTATACTAATAATTAATTATCATTGTGTGTGGAAGAGTATAGGTTGGGAGATGGCTCAAAGTTTAAGATTACTTGTTGCTTTTCTAAAACCCAAATTTGGTTCCCAGTACTCATATCAGGAGGTTCACAGTTGCTTATAAATCCAGCTTCAGGGCTCTGAAAACCTGTACTAGTTCAGCTTTCCATTGCTATGATAAAACACTCTGACTAAAAGCAACTTGGTGAGAAAAGAGTTTATTTGGCTTATATGCCTTAATTGGAGTACATCTTTGAGGGATGCCAAGGCAAGAACTCAAAGTAGGAACCTGGAGGCAGAAGCTGAAGATGCTAAAGGAATATTACCTACTGCCTTGTTTCTCTGGCCTGCTTGGTTCTCTCAGCTTGCTTTCTTAGGACCACCTGCCTGTTGTGACACTGCCCACAATGGGCTGGGCCCTCCCTCATGACTCAACAAATGCCTAATAGACATGACCACAGGCCAGTCTAATAGAGGAAATTCCCCAATTGAGATTCTCTCTTCCCAAGTGTGTCAAGTTGACAACTGAAACTGATCAGCATGCACTCTCTTCTGGTCTTCACAGGCACCTCTGAAAACACAAAAAGCACACACACATACACACCCCACATATAAATAAAAAAACAATCTTTAAAAATAATCAAGTATTGTGGGACTTTGGAGTAGAAAGTTGATTTGCTTTGTATATTATCAAAACCTTTGCTTCCTAAAGTTCCATTAACCTTAACATTGCCACCAATGGGTGATAGCAACACTTAGTCTTTAATTAAAAAAAAAAAAATCCTGGGGCTGGAGACATGGCTCAGAGGTTAAAAGCACTGACTGCTCTTGCAGAGGACCCGGGTCCAATTCCCAGCATCCACATGGTGGCTACAAACCATCCTTCACTCCAGCTCCAGGGGAATCCGAAGCCCTCTTCTTACCTATGCAGCATTGCACAACACGGGTGCACTCACATGCATGCAGGCAATACACTCATACATATAAAATAAAAATAATAAATAAAATATTAAAAAATTTTAAAAATCCTAAATGAATAAGAAGTATTTATTTTTAAAACATAATAGGTTCAGTATACAAAATTAGTAAAGTAGCATAAAGTTGAGTTTCATGCTTGAACACATTGTGTTTCTTTCCTAACAAAAGCAAAATCTTTTTTTTTTTTTTTCTTTTGGTCTTTTTGAGACAGGGTCTCCCTGTAGTCCCAGCTGTCCTGGAACTTACTGTGTAGACCAGGCTGGCCTTGAACTCAGGGGTCTGCCTGCCTCTGCCTCCCGAGTGCTGGGATTAAATGTGTGCGCCACCATGCCCAGCACAAAATCTTATTTTTAAAGAATGGATTTTAAATGTTGGAATGTGTGCCATAGAATTAGAAGATTCACATATGATCTGTGAATTCGACCTGTTCTTATGATAACTTATTTAGTGCAATATGACTATAGGATGTAGACAATCATAACTGACCTGAGCTCAGTCAGTCTGGGTTTTAATTTAGTCAGCTAATCATTTGTCTAATTTGAGTGAGATAATATAATCATTTAGCAATTTCAGTCAATAAACACAAACCAGTGTCTCATAAACAAACTTTCCTTGGTCTTTCTACAGAGCAGTAGGTAAGTTAGAGTAAATTCCAATTTTAAAATTACATATGCTATTAATTCATTTAGACAAAATTACCCACATAGTTTAAAATATTTATACTTTATTGCTGTCATTCAATCTGTAATAATTTGTGGTTCTCTGAGAAATATAAAAACGTGTTTAAGAAAATACTATGTATAACTGAAGAAGAGCACAATATTTACATATCTGTATGATGTATCCCATATCTTTTAACTTTCTAGGGTAGGGCTATACCACATTAGTAATATATTTCCTAATAATTTTATATATTTAGTTTTTATTAATACATATGTTCTTCTATAAAAGCGTGTCCATGGTTATTGAATCTAAGAACATGAATTCCATGAGAAATTCTGTTTAACACGTACCTGGAATAATTTCCATGAGAAATTCTGTTTAAAACGCACCTGGAATAAAACCATTAGCTTAAAGAAGCCAGAAAAAAAAAATGATACAGGCTGAACTTGCTTTTCAGCAATGAGTTCTCACCAAAGAAAATAATGTTAAGCTCCATGAAAATGAACTAATGGACAAATGAAAAGAAGAGGAACTTAATTTCCCAAGTGTCTTCTCACACAAATTTTTTAACAATATAGTTCCCCATTAGCTATTTGTGATGTTTTTCTCTGGTTTAGGATGCTCGTGCTACCTCATAGATGAAGGTTATGGTGGATACCTTTCTCACCATAGATGTTCAGTAGATGGCTGGTATTGCTGCAATTGCTGTAGCAATGTGGCTACTCTTGAGAGATCAGGATCTACTGACCACATTTGGGTAACAACAACTATGAGTGACACAGAAATGGTGCAGAAAATGTAATCCTTGAAATCCCTAAAGCTTTCTCTTTTAATAAGTTCTAAACATGCTTAGAAACTGAAACTCTGGGGCTGGAGAGATGGCTCACTGGTTAAGAACACTGGTTGTTCTTGCAGAAGACCCGAATCCCAGCACCCACATGGCAGATAACAACTGTCTGTAACTCCAGTCCCAGGGGATACGACAGCCTCTTCTGTCCTCCATGGGCACTGCACGACATCAGTGCCCTTAGCTACATGCAGGTAATACACCCATACACATAAAATAAAAATAAATAAATAAAAATTTTAATAAAAAGTTAAAAAAAAACCTAAAATTCTAACACTTAACCAAAACTCTTCTAATAGGTAGAATTGCCAATTAATGGGTCAATAAATAATCTACTTTTCTGTCCATCTGCTATCTTTCACAATTTATAGCTTCCTTGTTAAAAAATGAACTCAAGTTTAAATTTAAACCTCGGTTATTCAAGAATATTTGTTTTATTCCATAATCTAGTTCATCATGTAAAGGTTTCCTGTAATATATTATTTAAATATTTTCATTGTCACACATGTTTTGTTTTGCTTCTTTTTTAGTTTCAGAGATGATGATAATAATTATGTTTAGATGTGTTTATATTTATATTAGACAAAAGAAATATCATCGCAAAATCATAGTTGTTGGACAGCACTGTTATTTAAAGGTTTTTAGATGTGTGCAAGTTTTTTATTTTTTATTTTGTCTTTTTGGAACAGGGTCTCCCTGTAGCCTCAGCTGTCCTGGAACTCACTATGTACACCAGGCTGGCCTTGAACTCACAGAGATCTGCCTACCTCTGCCTCTGCCTCCTGAGTGCTGGGATTAAAGGAGTGTGCCTTTTTTTTTTTTTTTTTTTTTTAATTAGCTCTCATTCCCAATCCCTCATGTTTCTTTTGCAGATCTACTATCCTCAGTTTTCAGTTAAGCTTCCAATTCAGTGCACTGGATGGCATGAAAGACTTGCACTAACATGGCAGAGACTGTCAAACTCACACAATATTAGGGTAACATGTCTTAAAGTAAGATTGTACTTTTTCCACTGCGTTCAGCTCACATAACTGTAGTAAAAAGTGACGGATTATGGTTGCCTTTAAAAAGTTTCTTGGCATTGTCCAGTACAAAGCTTTGTCATGTTATAAATACATTGGACAATATTTAATTTTCAGTGACTATGGTTTAGGAGGTGGCAGAGTTTGGAATTATTTTACAATCTGTGCTGTTCTGTACGTTGTGTTAAGCAGAAAGCATTTGATTCCAGGCTCTTAATCACTTCCTTACATTCAAAGGAAACCTTGAATTTCAACTGTATACATCCTTTCATATACCCAGTCCTGTTAAATTGATTGGGCCTGCCATCTCTATTATAAATCGGGAGAATAGCCACGAAAGAGCCAATAAAAAGGGCATTCAAAACCCCTTAACACGACACGTTTCCTAGGGTGAAACTGCAGGACTGAAATCTTCAAAAGGAAGAGGTTTAAGTGTGGATTCTGGAGGAAGGACAAGTTCATGCAACGCTCTGCTCTAAGGAGTCGAACCTGCTGATTTGGGGTTTGGTTTCATTAGCCAATCAAAAAGGTGTAGTATACAAGCCAAAGAGCAAAAATATTTCTAATCATGGTTTTGAAAATCAGGTTATAGAGTCCTCACTTAAAATGTGTCTTTCCTTTGTTCAGTGCCTGGATGGATTGCCCATCCCAGTGGTTTGTGTAAACGTGCAGACAACAATAGCCCATGAGAACACACTACAGCATACATCATCTTGGCAGTTATGCCTTAGAGTGGTAGCCAGCTAAAAACACAAGCGTGCCTGCCGCATTTTTGTCATAGTAAAGAATTGAAAAACACCTCTAAGATCCGTTATTATTATTCGCCTTAGTTTTTTTTTTTTTTAGATGAAAGCGCTGTTTTGCGGGGTGAAGAAAGACTATCGTCAGTCTACTTCATGCTTGGACCCGGGACTCTCCCTCACACTGCCTGAGTTCACTTGTCCACAGCCTACAGCAGGGAGGCGCGGGTACCCGTAGGTGGCGCCCCTCGTCCATGCCTGCGCGCATCCTAGCTCTCCCCCGCACAGCGCGGAACCCCGCTCTTCTCCCAGAGCCGGCATTTTAATAAATAGGCACAGTGCCAATGCGCTCCATGAGCCGGGAGTTTCCGAGGAGCAGACACATAAACCCAGGCGGGAGGCGCCTCTTTAATCCCTACGGAAAGCGGACGTTTCACCAATGGGAGCTTATGGAACCGCAGCTCTAAAACATTGTCACCTAGCTTTCTCCTTCCTTGCCTTAATTTTTTTTTTTTTAATTTCTTGCTATAAGTGTTGTTGTTTTACCTTTTAATTATGAAAGTGGCCACTCCATTCAAGATTAAGACTTGGAGGGAATTTGTAAAAGAAAAGAAAGAATCGAAAAGAAGAGACGCGTCTGGTGCTTTTGAGGGTGCCTAGTTTTTTTGAAAAGGCATCTAGGAAGATAGTGCGTTGGGTATCTGGGTGAGAGCGGGACCCCGGCTTTGCACCCAGGGAGGTTGTGGGGAAGGGGGTGCAGGCTCTGGGGAGAAGGAGAAGCAAGGAGTCTGCATTTGGCAGCTTCGGGAAGTGCCCTCTGGGAACCCGAGGAAAGGTGGCGACCTCGGGACCCTATTAGTGAGGTGCTGGTGCAGAGGGGACCCTGAGGAAGAAGGCTGCATGGTGCGGCTCCAGGCTCAGCTCCGGCTCAGTGCAGCGCGGGAAGCGTGTGCGTTGCAGGCGCACTGGTGAACTGAGCACCGTGGGGCGCTGCGCAGGGCCGGGCGTGGGGCGCGCGGGGCCGGGGCGTGGTGAGCTCGGAGAGCCTGAGCGGCCGGCGCGGGAAGGAGGCAGGGCGGGGCGGCGCAGTTACTGGCCGCGCGCTGGGAGAAGGGTCGCGCTCCAAGGAGTCCTCCTCCCGCCAGCCTCGCTTGATTTTTCTCTACGCAGAACAACTTCACGGACCTCAGGGCTCGCCCATCATGGATGTTCCAGGTAACCAAACCCGCCGCTGCGCTCCAAGGTCCGTTTGTCCTTTGCACCCTTCTTTATGTTTTTACGAGAAGCATTAGGAATCTGGATGCTGGGGGACCGGAGAGAAGAGGATCAGGGTCCAGGGTAAAGTGTTGCAATCCTTTTACTGCTGGGGCTGGAGACAGGATATTTATTGAGAACGAACTTCTCTTTTCGTAGAATGAACATCGGAAGAGTTGCTTGGAGATTGTGGGCGGCGAGTGGAGGCTTTCTTTCTGTTTTTGTTCCTGGGCTAAGTATTGGAACAGCTTGTCTGGGTTAGTGGGAGAAGAGTAAAAGTGCCAGTGGGCGAGTAAGTTAGAAGAACCTATAGGGAAGAGGATGCAGGGGCCAGTAACAGCCGAAAAATGAGCAAACTCTAGGAATCGAGGTGCAGGAATCGCTTCACCTTTTCCAGAAGGAAAGGAATCCGGCTTGCCTGGGCTGCAGGGACACTGGAAGTGGATGCTAGGTTTTCGTTCCTCTCCCACTCCCACCCCGTCTTTCTCTCTTAATGTCTTTTCCTTTTCCTCTTAATCTCATCCACCCAAGGGGCTTTCTAGAGTTTGTTCGTTCGGTGGGGGGATAGATTATCTATTTTCTAAATGAATTGCTTAAAAATTACTCACCAAATGGAAAAATAGAGGGCTAATGTAAAGGCAGAGAGAGGAAAGGAAAGCTTTCTTGGCGTGGCTTTCCACAACGCCAATGAAATGAAGCTGTTGAGGCTTCTCTTTTTTTTCTTTGCGTTTTAATCTTAGCTACCTGGGACTGAGTGAGCAGGGGGCTGTGATGGCATCTCAGGGGCCCTCCGCCCTGCCTTACAAGGTCCTGCGGAATCACGGGGACCGAACCTTAGACACCCAAGTGCGTGCTGTTCAGGAACCTTCAAGGATGCGCTGGCTGGTGCGCCAGGGCTCCAGGGCTTTCTCAGGACCCCTTCGCCACATCTGGGAAGGGAAAGCCTTGTGGGGTGTGTGTGTGTGTGTGTGTGTGTGTGTGTGTGTGTGTGTTGAGGGGAGGTCAAGGGATGACCATCTGGAAGGGACTGGAGAGTCTCGAACACCTGCTCCCTGCATCCCCTCCTCCAGCTTCACCTGGGTGCCTAAGGAACGGTTTGGGTTTTTTCTTTTTCCTTGACAGGTCCTCTGGCTCCTTCGTTTTGAGAATCCCCTGGCCTTGACCAACCCAGCAAGGGCCAGAACACAGTGAAGTCTACTCCTGGCTCTGCGCGTCCCTGAGCGCAGCTTGGCTCCCTTTCTGTCCCCGCCAGCCTCTGCGTCCTTGCGGCGCCCCCCAGCCCAGATGCTGGCGCCGGGTCGGGGCCCCGGAGGGTCACCGATGAGCATGCCCGGGCGCCGGGGGGCGCTGCGCGAGCCGGCGGACTGCGGCTCCGGCCTGGGGGCGGCGCTGGCCCTGCTGCTGCTGCTGCTGCCCGCCTGCTGCCCAGTGCGGGCGCAGAACGACACGGAACCCATCGTGTTGGAGGGCAAGTGCCTGGTGGTGTGTGACTCCAGCCCGTCTGCGGACGGCGCCGTCACCTCCTCGCTAGGCATCTCTGTGCGCTCAGGTAGCGCCAAAGTGGCCTTCTCCGCCACGCGGAGCACCAACCACGAGCCGTCGGAGATGAGCAACCGTACCATGACCATCTACTTCGACCAGGTCAGCAGCCAGCCTACCTACCCGCCGCTGGGAGGGGAGGAGAAGTCGGGCTCTCAGTGTGGGACCCGGTGCTTCTCCTGGTGGAGTTCCAGGCTATTTTCTGAGCGCAGCCCTGCTCTTCTCTGTTGATCTGTCTAGTGTTATGCTGTTCTCCAGTCTCCCTTCTACACACTGTAGCTTTTTTATTTTTAAACTCTGGGGTCTCTTGGCACTTGGATTACAGTGAGCCCTTTAAAGCTCTCTGAGGTTTCTAAGGGTCTGGTAAAGCTAAGGTTTGAAATGCATTTCCCAAAAGAAAACATGAACTCGACAGGCTTGACAGGCTTTATCTTTTGCTGGAGGGAGCAGGTGTGGTGTGTGATCTTCAGTTTCTTGGGGGTGCACTTAAAAACAGTGCATTCAGAACGCTGCTCCTCCATAAAAAGAGTGCCTCCTTGCAAAGGGCTCAACCCAAGCACTGACAGTATGCACCCAGTGTGTGTTTTGTGAGACAGAGTGGCCAGGGCATGTTAATTTTCAAGAAAAGTAAGTGTGGAAGAGGCAGGAGTGTGGATAGCTATTGGCATATAACTGGAAATAAAATGGCCATATGCCTGCCATGTACTGTAAACAAAATATACACAATATGCCCATGCAGTATGTCCACACATTATACACAAGTATAAATTCATGGTGTAGCTGTGTATACATAAAACAAAGACCCTGTGAATTAAGTCGCCTTAAGCCACTGAATTTCTGGCACCTAGGCTGGAGAACCCAGGGTTAGAGAGATAGCTATGCAACTTTTTCTCTGGGTGGTGATCTTTTTTGTAACCTCTCTTTATAGTCCCTATTAATCTTCAAAAAGAAATGGAAAGTGTTATAGTTGTTTACAAACTTTAGTGAATCAGCTAATGTTTTTGCAGAGGTGCATTCTGTGAAACCGAGTCCTGGGACATCAGAGCTGGACTTAATCTCTACTGGCTTTCTTTTTGCCCCGGAACCACCTCTTAAATCTAAGTGTTTATAGGTTAGCATACACACCGTGCCTCTTTTTAGGCTCCTGTATTCATTTTTTAAATCCTTGTGCATTTGAAGACTTAAGGAGTCTTTGACATGTTTTTATTTACAGGATAAATATTTCATTTATTTCTAAATAAGAAAACAGTAACAGACACGGTATAGGCATCTATATTCTTTTATATGCGGTATTAGTGTACTGTGCCTTTTTCACTGACCAGTGTTCTGTAGTTTTTATAGCAGTTTCAGATCCACCATTTTGTGGGGGTGTCAGGAAAACACTGGTAAAGCATCAGTAGTAACAGGATCCTGATATTTACAGATGAGTTGACTGTGTCTGATTACTGCTAGGGTGTAAGTGAAACCCTCTTCTCAGAGCCTGACTAGGTGTCCTTTCATCCACAATACAGCCTTGAATTTATAAGTTTCCAGAATTTAAAATCCACTCTGAGTAGCTGAGATGAAGGGAGGAAGTGGGTCTGAAGGCTGGAGCATGAATGCTTCATGTAGAACCATGGGGAAGGCTAGGAGCAGCAGGCATCAGAAGTGCTTTGTCCTCAACAATGAAGCAGAGTGAGCATTTGAGACACTGCCCTGGAGTGGGCTGAAGTGGTGCTCACAGCATGTTGGAGACATGGGCCCCGGCTTGGTCTACAAGTCACGCCTGCAGTTGATACTGATAGCATTTCACATTACATTGAGCACTGCATACTGCACATCTTAACAAGTGTGTAAAAGTAGGTGACAGCCAAATGCAGTTGAATTGAAGTTTATTTTCTAATCAGATAAAAGAAGTCCAGGATTTTAATGCTGCTGATTGTTTATTTTGAAGTCTGAGAACACCAGTGGGTCATTTTATTATTTGATTGAGTTATAATCTGCATGAGGAGAGATGGGAACAGACCAAGTGGCCAGATTCTGCCTTGAATAGCTGAAAGAGCATCTGGTCACCCCAAGGAACTTGTTTCTCTTCACATTGCTTATGATGTGATTCTTACTCATTTTTTATTTGAGAAAAACTACCAGCAGGGCCATGTGATCTGCAGGTGGCTAATTTTGATATTACTCTTAACTGCTGTGGAATTCCCTTAGTTTGAACTAGGCATGTCCACACTACCATTTGAATTTTCTTCATTTATTCAAGCTTATTTACATGATACTTCTACTCCTCCGACAGAGCAAGCACTGCTCAGAGGAAAGAAATTTTAAACAGGGAAGCCAGTGTGTATTGACAAAACCCATCCAACACTAATTATTAAGCACCTACTATATAAGACCAGGGGTTGGGAGCTGCTGGAGAGTAAAACTTCATAGTACCCATTCTTTTCTTGAGAGTCCAGATAGTATACTAGTATTCGATCTTACTGGAATGAGCTCAGAATGGGTTGGCCCCTTGTTCCATCACCCTTTCACTCTCCATTTTATGTGAGGCAGTACTTGTTAAATGGAGCTTCCTACTGAGCTCCTATGACTCATGGATTCTAGGAACAGGCTGCATTCACAGGTTACTTCATGACCTTACTGTCTCCCATTGCTTCTTCTTTACAACTCACCAGTCCACAAAATTTACACCTACTTTTTGAATGCATAAATAAAATATACTTCCAAAGTCTTTATTCATTAGCATCTATGAGAACATCTTTGGAATGCATTTCTGCTGTTGAATGGTTTGATTTTGGTACTGTCTAGTCCTGGGGTAGAATGGCAATGTTGACTTTGTATTACTGATACTCTGTACCAGTAAACCAACTAGTGTTAATATAGACACCTGAGTATAATGAAAACACTGGTTGAAGAGGGGCGTGCCACGGTACCGCCTCCCCTCAGTACAGTATTTCTTCTTCTTTTTTCAGGTGTTAGTAAACATTGGCAACCACTTTGATCTTGCCTCCAGTATATTTGTAGCACCTCGAAAGGGGATCTATAGCTTCAGCTTCCATGTGGTCAAAGTGTACAACAGACAAACGATCCAGGTGGGTAGATGTGAAAGCTGAGCCCTTTAATGCTTGTTTAACAGGGGACTGGACTCTGAGCTAGTTGGCAATCCTGTCTCTCAGAACCCTAATTTGTGGGTTCCAAGGGAATGGGGGTGACTCTTGTGGGGACATGAGAACAGGGTGTGGGACTGGGGTGGTCTCTGGTCTGCTGAGCTTTCCTCTCTGCATTGTAGGTCAGTTTAATGCAGAATGGCTACCCAGTGATCTCCGCATTTGCAGGAGACCAGGATGTTACCAGGGAAGCAGCCAGCAATGGTGTCTTGCTGCTCATGGAAAGAGAAGACAAAGTTCACCTCAAACTGGAGAGGGGAAACCTCATGGGAGGCTGGAAATACTCCACATTCTCGGGCTTCTTGGTTTTTCCGCTATAGACACAGAGCCACCTGGATGGTGGGGAAGTTGTGATGAAGATCCAGGAATCTGCCCTTCATAGCACCCTGAACTTGTCTAAATAGAACAACTTGAGTCCACCTCCATCAGACTCTTGCCCTAGGAGAATGATTTCCTTCTAAAGCTCCGGTATTTTCTTTGACTATTGACAATTCCTCCGGAACCTGGCCTCTAATTAGTTTTAGGCAACAAGGTCTTAAGGAGAAATGAAATTATTGATTTGAGCAATTTGTACCTGTGATTGTAAAGTCATTATCAGATTTTATTGTCGGGACCGTTGACTTACCTTCTTTCGTTTGTACGTTGTATTCTTGTCCCGATGGCAGAGATGCTGCTGACCCTCAGATGGATTGCACGTTACAGTCAGGGCTTAAAGAAGAGCCCAGCAAAGAACCACCCACTGGACAGTTTTTTTGACCTGTGTTCTGTGTGTGTCTGTATAGCCTTAAGAAAAAGAATGGCTTTACTTTCATTCTGTAGCTTTTCCCCTGGGGTGTATGGGAGGACTTGGGAGGGAGCTGGGCATTGGGAAACTGTCAAGAAGTGCTTTATCCAGAGAAGCAAATTTTGCAGGATAGGATGCAAATTTTGTTTTGTGTTGCCAGTGTTTTGTTTTTTTTTGTTTGTTTGTTTTGTTTTGTTTTGTTTTTCTTTTCCCTCCAGAGGTTTTCCTTTCCTTTCCATCCTAAGCTTTCCTTCCTCATGCCTACTTAGTTTTCATGCTGGGGTTACAAAGAGAAAAATGTATTTTAAATTCATGGATGAGATCAAACCAAACCAAACCAAATCTACGCATTCCATTTTGGATGAGAGGAAATCAGACAAAGAAGTGTTTTTCTAGCCAAGGAAGGACAACAAATGGACTATTCTGCTGGTTTTTTCCAGGAGATTCTCTCAAATGCACCTTTGAACTTGCAACCTGGATTTTATTTTTTTAATTTACACTCTGGGACCCTTTAAGAACCTGGCATTCCTTGGTGGGCCTGAATCAAATAACAGTGGAACAGCAATGATCAAATCCTTCAGATGCTCCTTGTCCAAGTGTGGCTTAGCAGCAAGTTAGATCCATCTCTGAGTGACCACACAGTGACCAGATACTTCAAAGTAGCAGGACCAGCCCCTCTTTTTGGAGATCTGTTGACCTGCGAAGGAGAGGGATGTCTTCACACTCTGCAAGGTACACCTGGCTGGAAGCCACCAGGAATGGATGTCACAGCAGTTGCAGGTACTGGCTGCTGTACCCTAGGAGTGGTTTTGCAAACCCTGCTTATTTTGGCATCTTGCACAACAGTATTATTAAGATGCATCTTGAGAGTCTTGGTGCAGGATTTGTGTGCCAATGAAATGTCACTGATCCCAAAGCAATCAAAGATGAGACCTCAAACCGGTGTTAATTTGTCCTTTGTGTAACAATGTAACCAAAATATTGATGATAAAACTCATAATTTAAGATTCAGAATAAATGGGTTTGATGTCTGACTTGTTCTGGTCCCTCCTCATCGTCTCTTTCAAAATCATAGGGAGGTATAGGTTAAGCACAAGGGAAATTAGGGATGTTAAATTCTTGCTGTGTTTTAGAAAGCACAAACACAAGTGCAGCTAAGGACCTCCGTGCATATTGCTCACTCAGACACATTCCATGTATACTTTGTATTTTTCAAACAGAAATTTTTGGAGAAGGGATGAGAAAAAGACACAATTTTGGTTTAATGAGTGGGTCATCTGCTTTGATCACACATTATCTTTAATGTGCCCAAAATTTCAGTAAATAACTAATAATAAATAAGACACCAACCTTTGAGAAGGCTCCGATAGTTATTTCCAAATTGTGTGTGGGAGGGAGGATTTCATGCTTAAAGAGCAAATGCAGGAAACATTATATAAATATAGTTTAATAAGGGCCTAAGCTTTACTGTCCTTATCTGAACAAGAAAGGATGAAGGATTTCATTCCAATTAAACAATGCTGTTTTATGAGGGGAGAAAAATCAACCAAGAAGCATTTGGGGTACTTTGGCTTTGTGATTCAGAGACATACTTCTAAGTGTGAGCATTGTTTATTAATGCCGGAAACATAAATAGAAAGCAGATGGAGTGTGTGCCCCTTGTGTTTTGTTGTACTTAGATATTTTAATCCTCTTTCCTTCATTTCCTTAACTTCATGCTCAATTTAAAACAAGCAGGAAACCTCATTTGAAGACAATATTATACTGCAGAGGTTTAAAGATGCGGGAGCCCTTGTTATTAATATTTGCATCACTTAAGAATATATAATGCACACATATCTTTGTATTTGTATCTTTATTATGTACAAATTGCTATTGGTTTATATTGTCTCATTAATAAGTTATTAAATTGACCAATCTAAATATATTCCAAGAGTTCATTTTCTATTAGCAATTCAGCTTCCTCCTGATGAGTATATTACTAGCCTTCTTTCTTCTCGCTCCATGTGAATGTCAAGGAGTACATAGGTATGCAGCATTCCTGAGAGTAGCTCTGAGGTTGCATACCACCCATTGCAGCATCTGCCAGGCAGTACCCCTATAGAAATTATGTAAATTGATTTACTTGCTTGAAAATAAACTTAGATAAACAACATTACATTATTAGAATAGTTATAATATGTAAAGCAACATAAGACCTTTGCTGAAAATTTAACTTGCTTGTGATACCCATGATAGATATGACCAATCTAGATATGACCTATAGAAAACGTAGATGCCAGATCAAAAGTCAGTATACGGTTTTCTTCAATCTTATTGATGAGAGTCATCTAACAGTCCTAATCTGAGCTCACAATCCTTGGTTCACTGCCTGTGTGTTCATGCCTGCAGAGTGAGGACCCAGACCCCACATGATCAGCTCACTACACAGGGTCATTGGGAGAACCTCCCCTAAGTGATGTGAGAAGAGCGAGCACTGGGGTAGTGGGTGTTGTTACTACAGCAGGGAAGGTATTTACAGTAAACAAGTCTTTCAACTTGCAATGACAAAGATTATTTAAAATGAACATCTGACAGAAGGGTACTTGTGCATGAAAGTACATTTCCAAAGTTCCACAAAGACTCTTAAAGCTGTAGCTGAAGTTTCCTTACATTTGATTTTTTAGGAATATAATAATATTAAATTCATATATTTGACTTTTGTGACATTCTCTAGTGTGTTATTTGGCATTCTCTTGCAGTTAGTGCTCACCCTTCTATTATACAATATACTGCCA